GTTTCCTTTATCAGTATAAAGTATGTTGTTCTTTTGAAGTTAGTTTATAATTAGTCTTGTGTCAGTTGCAGTTAATTCATACTTTATTTTAAAGTCTCAAAAATTCCTTTAAATAAGAATTGTCTTAGAAGTTTAAGACAAACTGCGAGCCTCTGCATAATTAGGATAAATCATGTTTTTGATCTTACTTGGTTCTTTTTCATTTACGGTGCAAATACAATTATTTAATTTATGTTATGAATCATGGTATTATACGTTAATTATTTTTCCTCTTTATTCATAATTTTATTTAATTCTATTATTCCTTATAAAGTTATTGGTATCAATTAAAAAAAATGACAGAAGTACGCGTATTAGAATCGATTTAACATTAATATTGTTTAAAGGAAATATCACAAAATCTTGCAGAGAGTCGTGGCTCAGAGGATAGAGCATTCGTCTTCTTATGAGGTAAACCGGATTCGAATCCCAGCAATGGCTGGTCGATGTGAATTCCGCACCCGGCTTGCACCGACCGCAGTGCTGACGTAAAGATATCCTCTGAGGTATGCGGATCGCATGTAAACTCTCTTTACACACATAGTATCCCCAAGAGATTTTGAGAGCGCTGATTGGCTTTCTCGGCATTGCCTTCTGTTAAGTCTTTTTGTAGCTTCTCCTCAATAACATTTCTCGGTAGTTTGTTCCCAAAATGTAAATCAATCATAAATCAGTTCCAGTATATTTCTCATACTAATTTTATGACAAATGTTAAAGTTTTGTTCAAAAAATTAAACAGCGTTATTAATTGTATTTTAATAATAACACATTTATTTAAATCTAATTTGCTTTAAATTTTATGCTAATATTTTTTAACATTAATGTTATGAATTTTAGTTAAATGCAAGGTAAACAATCATGTTTTGGTAAAACATCAAATTAGTATAATAAAAATTAATAATAATATTAGTATAATTATAATAATAATNTGGAAGTTCTAGAATTCCATTTCGCATTGGTAAGTTCCCCAAATTCCATTACCCACAATCCCAAATTCCATTACCCATGGTATTTGAGGAAATATTTTTTACTTCATTTTTAAATGAAGAAGGCAGTTTCTCTGTTGAAAAAACTGACATTTCAAGTTTGTACACAAAAGCTGGAGTATAGAAATCGCTCTATGCTGAAAATAACAAGCATGGCAGAATGAAATAGCCATACGTCACAGATGGCGTTGCCGAGAAAGCCAATTAGCGCGCTCAAAATCTCTTGGGGATACTATGTGTGTAAAGAGAGTTTACATGCAGACGGATCATGGGTTTACGCCCCCTTGCCGTCAGCCTAACCATGGGAGGTTTTCCTCTTTATGTAACGCAAATGCGGGTTAATTCTATCAAAAATCCATCATCCTCCGCTAAGGCAAAATTTCTCCCAATACCTTATCCATGATATTCTTTTTTACTGGATTGGGTTCGAAATTACAAGGCTATGGAGTTCATTATCATTAGTCGTAAACCCATAATTGGGTCAGCTGTTCATAGATGGTTATAAAATAAAATAAAAATCTTGTAGAATTATGTATGAAAAAAGCACTGTAAAGAAGCATGCTTACGGTTTTTTTTAAAGACATTTTCTTTTATTTGTATTAGGGTCATTCTCACAAAAAGGTGATTTTTTAAGTCCCTTAGTAATAAATATTAGGAAATACAGCAGATTTCTTAATATTCTTCTTCATCATTTTTCGTAAAGTTCTAACTAACAAATCATATGCATTTCTGCTAAATGTATTTAATATTTCATTCTTATTTTTTAATAAACATAACTTCAAAATCTGTGGACGTCCCTACGCATGTGACACAAAATAATTTTTAATGGCTGTTATGCAATTTAAATGTTATTTTAATGATTTTTATAGTTTTATCTAGTTAAATGATTATAGTAACTTTTTATTTAATATTTTTAAAAAAATTTTTTATTTTTATAAAATAATTGACTAGCAAACTTTGTCCATCAAAAATGAAATCTTCCTCCATGGACAATTAACATAGTTCGGTAAATATGCAATAAAGGGCAACACATGCGAAATCCCTATAAGACAGCTGCTGGGAATGGTAGCCATTCTATTTTCTAATGTTAACTATCAGTTGTTTTTGTTCTCTTTGGTGTCAGTTTTGGATTGTGTGTTCAACTGGGGTTTGGGCAAAGTTCTNTCGTACCCTGTTACAATTGACCCCACTCTCCCCTACCCTCAACACTCAACTTTCATGTGGAGTCTGAATTTTTATTTCAATAAACTTTACATTTTAATTTATTAATATTCAGTGAGAGTTACTTAAAAAATTGTACACAGAGGTTAAAAATGGATGTTTCCTTTCATAGCAGCATGATTAATCGGAAGTAGCTCTATCTCTAATAATGAAAAATATTTTATTATTTACTTATTAATGTTAAGCTCACATCAGTTGAACGCAATAATTAATGAATTAGTCTTCATTGACATTTTATATTTTATAACATAAAATGTCTCCTCCGTTGACTATTACATCACCTCCGTGGACAAGGCAGAAATTAAAATATTTTAAATCTTGTGAAAAATAAAATAGAAAACTTGACCATTATTATAAGGACATATAACAAAAATAAATAAAGGCATTTATGTAATTTTTATCACTTGTTTAATTACCTTAATTTAAGAAAATCTTTTAGTCTATTTATACCTTTTCAGTGAGAATGACCCATTAAATAATGTGTTTTTATGCCTTTACTTCCTTCAAGTTATTTTGGTATTAAACGAAGTTAGTGAAATATGTTTGAAGTGAGTGTAATGCACTAATAGTCAATTTTACGTTGCATTTCGTAAATTGATTGGTAAATGAAATATTTTCTATCAAATGTCAATTCTGCATTCATAATTTTATTTTAAGTTATTTGAATTGATTTAAAATAAACGTATGGTTTAAATTCTGTTCAAACAATATTAGTAACAATCATGTAAGCATTAAAAACAATTCAACCGGAAAAAATATTTCAAAAATCATGTTTCAAATTTGTTTCCTTCATTTTTGAAATTTTGAAAACAAATTTCAATAATGTATTTCTTGTCAATAAACCAGCAAATTTCACAACAAAATTTGCAATTTTAACTATATTCAAATTTTGACAAAGGAAAATTTAAAAATCACAATCCGCTTTAATTCTTCGAGATATAGTAGTACTTTTTTTACGTCACATTTTAAATTCTTTAAACTACCTATGATATAAACACATGCAAAAAATTGCTTTTGTGATTTTATATTTATTTTTAAAAAAATTTTTTATGACTTTTATTTTTTAAAATGCATTTTGCTTACATATTTTAGTTAATTATAGCATAAGATTGAAAAATACAACTTTCGTGTTCAGTTTATTATCCTGAATCAATTCAAAATTATACTTAAGAAAAGTTATTATAAATGAATAAGTATTTATTTTTTGCAGTTTTTCGGGGAGAAAGGTTTAAAAAAAAATAAGCCTTTATTTATGTTTGCTTAATTAATTTTTTAATTTGCTTAAAATTCTGTTGTTGTTTCTAATGCCACCTGCTTGGTGAAACTAAGCGAATTTTAGGCAGAGGTTTATCTTGCGCTTCAGTGGAGCCATCTATGGCCAAAAATACTTATTCAGTCACGCATACGTCACAGTCCATTTACAGGGCGAACCCATTCATATATCCATTTATGCATCCACGGATCGTAATTTTCACCTGAACCCGAGAATCTCCAATTCAGTACCCCTGAAATATGATTTGTTTTGTGAACATAGAAGACTTTGTGACCCGACAGATTTAACGAGCACCAGTCACCATTTACTACACGGAGTCTTCGGCCAGCGGTGATCGAACTCACGATCACTTGAACAAGGGCTCAACAACCTAACAAGCAGGCTATCCTGGCAATACTTAAAATTCTAAATCTTAATTGCATCCATTTCCTATTTGGAATCAAATCTTTATGTGAAAAAACTTATGTATATATAGATACTTCTTATGTATAAACAGTTTACTTATAATGCAAAATGACGTGACAAAATTGTAATTTTTGAATAAAAAATATCAATTCTCAAACCAAATATCCTTCTCAGTTTGCATTATATTCAAAAAATGTAAATCAGTTTTTTCAAAAATAAGAATAGAATAAAACAGCTTTGTAAGCAACATTACTTTAGTGTAAGATAAGTTTTGGTTTGGCATAACCCGTTTACCAAGGAAATGGATTCTGACGTCATAATCCCGCCTCATTTTGAGTCACGTGAAGCTGTTTTCGATTTAAAGCTAATTTTGAGTTATGATTTTAATAAATTAAATTTAATTTTGAACAGGCTCAGTTGATTTTTGAAAATTTTAAGTTATAGACTTGTNTTACTCTACGTTTGCAGGTTGCTCGTTCTTAATATTAATTTTACCTCTTTGCGCATTCCGCTATATCTCAAGAGCTTTGAATGAAAATTAAAAAGATTCCGTACAAAATTATAAAATTTGTTTATCCATAGATAATTCAATGCAAAAGTGTTTAATTTTTCTTATTTATTATTTTGTTTAAAAATGACCGAAGAAACTTTTAATTGCAAGGTATACATTTTTTGCATCATTTTAAATAATGCAGTTTTAAATGGTGAAATACAAAATTTAGTGAAATCGGAAGAATAGTTCCTAAGAATTTTAAAAATACGTAAGTCATATTGTTTGAAAAAGTCTTATATTTAAAAATTTATTTCTCAGGAAGTATTCGGTCAACATCGCTCAAATGCTGTATTTGACCATTTAAAGTATTAGCAACATTTAAAATGATGCAAAAATTATTTACCTTAGAATTCATTTTTTTACCATTAATAAACATGCAGCTGTAGTTTCAATTTGTGCTGCAGTATTGAAAAAGAAAATCCAGAGAATGAGACAGGGAATAACAGGCATTAAAAAATTAAAATTTTTGGACAAAACTAGCGAAGATTTTCAAATTGAAAAGATATAAGAATTTTAATCTTACCTGTATTTTAATGTACTTTATTATACTGATCATTTAACACCATAGCTCTTTCCTATAAGAAAAATAGTTGCTTTAGTAAAACCATAGTTAAAAAAAGACAGCTGTGTAAATATTGCAATCAGAAATGAAGGGTATGTTACTACTCCCTCTGGGGTTGGGAAAAATTTGGTTCCATATCCAGACGTAACCTCCTATGTGTTTTTCGAATTCCAATATTTTGATTAAGATATTACAATACACATACTCTAAATTTAATTTACCGCTTTATGAGGTCAATGCGTGACAATTTAAACGAAAAACCATATAGTTTTTCTTTTACTTTTATAACCTTTTTATTGACAGTTTTTTTTCTTAGGTTTTTCATACTAGACATATCGCATTAAGTCACCGCTTTTTTTATTGTACCAACTTCATCGTTGTTGTTGCTGTTGTTGTTTCTAATACCACCTTCCACACGGGCAAGCCTGCTTGGTGAAACTGAGCAAATTTAAGGCAGAGTGTGCGTTTCTTGTTTTTCAGTGGCACCATCTATGGCTAAGAATTCGACTTCTGCCACACAATACGTTGCACCCGTTTATAGGGCGAACCCATTCATACATCCATTCATTCATCCACAATTCGTAAGTTTGACCTGAATCAGAGAATGATCGATCTCCAATCCAGCACCCACAAAGGTATTGATTTGTTATGAGAAGATGGAGAATTTTTGCGACTCGACAGATTTAACGTGCATCAGTCACTTTACTACACGGGGAGACCTTGGCCGGTGGGGTTCGAACCCACGAACTCTCGGACTTTGGCATGAATTTCACCGAACCCAGCTCAGTAGACGCACATGCGAATTCGTAAGTATTTCATCAAATATGTAAAATGATTGGCGCTTTCATACGCTATGGACCAACGGTACGTCATGGTTCTCAGCAGATCGCCGATGTCAAGCATCACTGTCTGCTGTCAGTGAGCGGGTGGGTGACCACTTGGATCCGTCTGCGTATGAACCGAGGGCGTGCAATATTGGTCCTCGTTAGGCTGCACTACCGTGAAGTGCTCGACTTCGCG